GGTGCTGTGGTGGAGAGCACCACACACAGAACAGGGCACTTGAGTGCTTTTGAAGCACCTCATTATAGGTGCCATTTTGCAGTGAGAAGCTGAGGCAGGTCGGTTGCCCAAGGGCCAAAACATATTACTTCAAAAGTGCTAAGGCCTGTGCATTTTTTCCCTTCAGTTTCACTCTAGATTCCTCCAACCTGGATCAGGACTCTAGCAGGGCTTTTAAGATCAGCATGGGCCTTCCTGCACCTACTCTAAGGTAAAGGTGGGGAAAAGACACTGCTTCTAGACACGCATTTAAAGGAATACCTCTTTTAGCCCTGAGGCCACCTAGTAAGTGGGGATTTGAACCTTATGCATTAAATATAGGATGCAAGTGTTTGTATTGCAGGTTATCTCTAGAAAACATGGATTTATGGCAGGCGTACCTTACAGGTGAGCTGGGAGGATCAAGTGGGATGCAAATATTAAAAATGAATGAGCCAGAGAGTCAAAGTACCTTGCCGGGGGGGGGGGGGACTTGAGTGTAGGGGACGTGAAATGTTTAACAAAAGCATTGATGTTTTAAATGCACAGCAATATTCCCTATCAATAATACATGGTGCGGTGTGGCACAAGTGTGCTGGAGTAAGTGATTGCAGTTTATGGATTGGGCCAGGGAAACGAGTAAACAATGCAGATGGTGTTTGGAGGTTCAGAGAATGTAAAACCAACACAAAGCGTTTCTGTAAGCTTGCTCAGATTGGGAAGGCTCGGGGAAGGGGGTTGAAAGGCTTCATATCTAGAAACCTTTAAGGGGCAGTACCTAGATGGGATTGTCCCGAGGGAATATCTGCTTGTGCTCTGCAGGTTCTGCTGCCCAGGTGGAAATGCATTTGCAGCCTCTTTGTAGAGCTATTGCAGCAATGCAAAGATAGATGCATGTATCATTCCTGAGTGTGGTCAACTGTACGGAGTAAACAAGGGGGGGCAGGCAGGATGTAATGCCACCTTAAAAGCAGTGAGTTCTTCCTTTTCTCCTTTTGTCAACTGAGATTAAAATGATGTATGTGTATGCTGGAGTTTTGCAGCCATTAAGTACTTCTGTGGGGGTCCATATGCATACTTCTATATGGACCATCATGTTTTAGACAGGCAAACACTTGGATTTTAGACTTTTGGGGCAGGGGCTCTTCAGATGGCAATTCAGACATCCTCTTGCGTCTCCCCCATCGAGAGCCAGCTCTCCTAACCCACTTAGCTGGCTTGATTCCTTTCTTAGAAAATTACTGCATTTCTGTGGGTGGTGTGCTGGCGTTGTAGACCTGGACAAAGGAGCAGCCTTTCCCTACTTGCTGCCCTCCAGATATGTTGGATTACTACCTCCATACTTCCTAACCATTGGCTATCCTGGCCGGGAGAATGGGAGTTGTAGTCCAGCACAACAGGTGGGCATAAGAGTAGGGAGGCTGCTGAGGTCAATAGCTGCATGCATGGCTAAAGGAGGTAATCAACGCACGACCCCTTTCAGGCTACCTGGAATATTGCGCCATAAGGTCCTGTGGGTATTGAGCTGAGCATCTTTTAGGCCGCTTGCATTTGTACACCTTCAAATGTGTAAAAAGGGCAGAATCTGAAAGAGAGGAAATGAGACTCTTTCTCCACATGATGCCTTTTGTCTTCTCTTTAGAACCAGGGAAGGCAACCTGGTGCTGCCACCTGGTGTAAATTGGACTACAATTTACATCAGCCCTAGTTAGGAATTGTGGAGTTGGCTCCAAAACTTCTGGATGTTTCCTGAATTTCCTTTAGGCCAAAGTGGCGGGGGGGGGGGGGTCTCCTACATGAAGCAACATGTTGGCCTGTTGAAACACTAAACTTGAGGGGGGCTGCAGGTGAAGGTGCAAAGTTGGTGGAGTTGCATTATCTGTGTCTCTTCTCCTCCTCTCAGGCCTACGCATGATTCAGAAGTGCACATGACTCCGAGAGCAGCAGGCAGTGTGCATGATCTGGCGGGCTGGATGACTGAGGGGCATAAATGCAGTTTAGTCCAAGGGTTGCCCATAGCCTTGGATCAAGGCTCCCCTTCCCAGCTTTGGATTTTCATGGCAGCACGATTCACTGTGCATGCTGTTCTTGGGTTTATTTTAAATTCCGCCTTTAGAAAGCTTATAACATAATTTCTCCAACTGACAGAGCTAGCTGCTTCTTTATTACCAGAATTAAAGAAACCACTCTCTGAAATTGGAGAAAACACTTCATGGGGAAAAGTTCCTCTTTGTCAGTGTTGGGCTTAGAGCCTTTATGGAGTGAAGGTGGCAGGTGAACGGGGTGGGGGGAGCTGGTAATAATTTAGACAATCAATCTCTCCTTTAGATGTGACCAGAACTTGCAGGGAACTCTTATATCAGCTGGACCATCAAATAACTTTCCTTTCCTGAGTGGCATGAGTGTAATTGCAAAGTAGATCCAGCCTCCATGTGCATTTTCAGTACTAGATAAATCTCTCCCCTATCTAGTGTCTTCTCAGTACTAGATAAATCCGTTCTGTAGAAAGCTACTCTTTTCATCTCTCTCTCTCATCCTTGAGAGAGCCCAAGAGAAGAATTGGCTACACAACAAATTACTTGTGGGACAATCTCCAAAATATGCTCCCGCGGGTTTTCTGAACTGAGCTTAACATGATTAATGCTGAAGAGGAATATTGTAGATTTCCCTGGTATGGTGGAAAGCGCTGAATTCTTGCTTAAATGCAGACAGCATGCAATTTGACTTCCCCGCAAAGCCCCGCAGTCCCAGCTGTTGCCCACGGCTATGCATTTAACAGATTGCTTGACTGCAGCTGGTCGGCAGTTGGAAGTCGAAGTGATTTAAACTGAAGAAACAGTTGGAAAATTCCAGTCAGACAGCCTGAGTGGGAACATGTGGAGCTAAAATAATGAGTGATGCACTGTTGGAGGGCTGAGGAGGAGGGAAGGATTGAGGGGAATGTTGGTTGTCAAAAGGCCCAAGGGGTGTTCTAGCTGATAAAATATCTACATGCAGTCAGCATATATAGGCATGAATATCTGTGGCTGTTCCTTTTGCATGTTTGCCTTCTACATACCTTTGGAGAGGCTTTATAAATTAATAGGAACCTAATTAAATTACCGTGTGCTCAGTGTCTCATTTCTGGAAGTGTGGTTTGGCACGAAGAAAATGAGAATATAAGGGGCTGTTTTGTGTTCCACAAATGGAAGGGCTTCGTGCACAGGAGACACCTAGCCAAGTTGGCTTCCCCAGGCACTGCAGTCAGTTTGCCCCACTCAGCAGGGATCCTGGCCCAATGTGCAGCATTTTCAGGTGGCTGGAAGGGTTGCCATGGGAAGTGGGAGTTGCACATACCTACATCTGGATCCAACCTAAGGCCTCATACGAAGTGAGCTTGCTGTGTGTGTATGTTTTGAAGCCCTCTTGTACCCTCTTCCAACATTTATTTTTTGATTTGCATGGTACTGCACTTGTCCGTGACATGCATCTCTGAGTACCTTCTCTTGCATTCAGGGAATAAACCCTTCTGGAAGAAAAACCTTTAGACTAATTTATGTATTTTATTACCACATTTCTATCCCACTGTTTTGCAAAGAGCCCAAGGTTGCTTATATGGTCCTTCTTGTCTCCCATTGCTTGAGAGTGAGAGATTTTCCCAGTGCTACCTAATGAGCTTCTTGGCTGAGTAGACCAAGACCTACTCAGATAAACACTCGAACCACTGCATCTTACTGGCTTTCCTGTAGCTCAGATTTAGCTATCTTGCACTAATGTGTACCAGCAGGAACCATTCCCCATGGTTTCCATCTTCTGCCAGAGGACAGAGTGCTGTTTGAACATTAAAGCTGGTTCAAACTAGTATATTTTAACCAATCCACTGTGATTCAAGTACTTCTAATGAGGACCGTTTAGTACAGGAAGCAGAATGTCTTCATAAGGTCACCAACAGGAATCAATGAAGTGTAAGTTGGAGCTTTTCTGAAAAGAAAAGCAAAACATAAAGCAAATACCAGGTAGCTGGTTGATTATAACCTTTCCCAGGAAGAGACACAGGAAAAAGGACGAGGAGGAGTTGTAGAAATGCCTTGCAAACTTACTGGAGTTAATCATGTGCAAGCATTAATTACAAAATTGGAACAGTCAAGCTTGCTTAATGTTGCAGTTGCATTTAGCATCCAATCATTGTTACTAATAAAGTTAGGAAATGGAAAAAATAAAGGACTTGCATCACTGGCTACTCATCATGTTGGAGCCCTTCTGAAGGAGCTGCTATTTCACCCCAAACCATCCCATTCCAGATACAGGTGACAAACCCCCCTTTCCTAATTGGTCTTATACTTGTTTTTATCACTATTTTAGATGAAGTGTGATGTTGTTACGGTTTTTGTTCTTTGTAAGCCGTCCAGAGACTTTTTAGTAATGGGACGGCATAGAAAAACTTTAAATAAATAAATACATTTATGTTTCTTTCTGTGTTTCAGTTTCTAAAGCACTGCAATAAATCACATAAAAACACACCCTCATTTGTGTTCTTGCGCTTGCCCACATAAACTGCATTGTCTTTGAATAGAAAGTTCCTTCAGATAGTAGGAAACCAAGCAGTGGTAACGGAAGACCTTTTGAAACACTGTGTGTTTACCTTCTTGTGGCTTCTGTAAGGCTGTAGGTGTGCACTGATAATTCAGAATGGGTGTTTTGTGCTTGGTGCATGAAGTTGCGATTTGAATGTAGTTGTCTTGGTATGTTTTGATTTTTAATGAGTTTTGGGTGTAGTTAATGGGTTTTGTTGAACAGCTGTGCTTTCCTTTTCAGGCTGTGCATGCCTTATTTGACGACACCGTTAACAGTACCATGTTTACAGTTGTTGAATTTGAAATACAGCAATGGTAGTACAGCATCTGGAACTGCAATACCAGTTGAATTCTCAAACTCCTAGATACATCCTGAAGTCCTGTAATAGGCAGTGTCCTGCTCTAATTCTGTCCCTTTCTTCTTTACAGATAACCATTATTTTTAAATCTTATCAAGACTGTACAGATCAGAAGGTCTATCAGGCAGTGACTGATGATTTGCCAGCAGCTTTTGTAGATGGCACGACCAGTGGCGGTGATGGTGACACCAAAAGCTTGCGCATTGTGGAGAGAGTGAGTGGAAAATCCGTGGAAATGCATGCCAGATACATTGGGACCACAGTATTTGTGCGCCAGCTTGGCCGCTACTTAACGCTGGCCATCCGCATGCCTGAGGAGCTGGCCATGGCTTATGAAGAGAGCCAGGATCTGCAGCTCTGTGTGAACGGCTGCCCCCTAAGCGAACGCATTGACGACAGTGGGCATCTCCCCTTGCCAGTGATGGGGCAGCTGCTCCCTCCTGGTGCTTCAAGCCAGAGTCGGTCTGTGTATACACTGGAGAGCGCAACAACAAAATGCCATGAGAAGATGCTGTTGAAGGACATCTACTTCTACTCTTGTGTGTTTGACTTGCTCACCACTGGTGATGCCAATTTCACAGCAGCTGCCCACAGTGCTTTGCAGGACGTTGAGGCACTGCACCCCAAGAAGGAGCGATGGCACATCTTCCCCAGCAATGGAGGCCGTGGCGGGGGGAGCGACTCGTGTCTTACTTTTGGACTTGTGTGTTTGATGCTTGTTGTGTTTTTGTAGGGTTTTTTGTTTGTTTGAGAACAAAGGTTTAAAAATATATATTGTCATAATATATTGAGTAAAGAGTATATATGTATATACCATGTATATGAAGGGATGCTTTTTTTGTCCTGGGACACCCAGCAGATTGTATATACTGTGTTACCTTTTTTAATGTATGTTGGATGTAATATTCTTTTTGATTGTAACAATTTTTTGCTTTGCAGTTGGTGAAATGTTTTTATAATGTCCTTTCATCAGGACCAGATAGAAAGCACTTTATTTTTTATATATTAAATATTTATGTGTACCTAGGTAATCCATACAGCATATATCCACATGTACATATCTCATACCCAGTGCTCCCTCTAAGTACTACCTAGCTTAACTCACATACTTAGGGTCTTGTGTGGTTCCTTTTCCCTCTGATTCTTGCTCTTCCTCTGGCCAGCTCAGACCACGCAGGAAGCTGGCTGAACAGAGAGGCAGAGCTCCGGAAGAGCTGATTCTTCCTTGCACCCTAGGCCAGTAGGCTTTTTTCCCATAGGAACAGAATTTGCCATTGATCCTCATTATTAAAGCATTAATGACTGCATCTTTTGTGTTCCTGATGCAGAAATCTTTGCTTCCTTCTCTGAAGGACTCACTTTTAGTGATACCTTGTACTTGAGTTCTGATATTCAAATACAAGATAACTTGTATTAGTTTGTGAAGGGCACACATGTAAAAACTTGTGTCTTTTCATCCAAGTGTGTGCAAGGGGGCCCAAAGCTTTCCCATTAACACTCTTGGATTTTTTGGACTCAGATCTCTTAATATATATTGATATATGGTTGTCTTCAAGTTGTTTGTACTAAGTGTGTACCCTATGATAGTGGTAGGCCGTAACTGGTTAATTTCTCTCCCTACCCCTTAGTTTCTATTGAAACTGTTTTTCCCTCCTCCCCCTGATAAAAGTTTTATTTGCAAGCTTTAGAGTTATTAACAACCTGCCTTGTCTGGGAAAAAGGCAGAAATTTAACTAATCCTATAGCCTCCTCTGCAACCTTCCACTTCAGCATACATCAAAGTTTGCACTGGGGACAGCTGGTCAGCCTTGTTTGGGCAGATCCAAGAAAACTGGAACATTGGCTTAGAGCAGAGTTCCAAGAGTTGTTTCACCATCACTTCTGTGTCAGTTTTTAGTGAGTTCTTCAGTTACAGTAACAGTAGTCACATTAGTCTGTTGTAATAAAGAGTATGGCTGTATTCACACAGTGCGACAGGGCAAAGAACTCTGGCTTGTTTCTGCGGAGTGTGGATCTTTGCCCAGCCTTACCAGTCTGGATTATCATGGTTGCTCCCTGCTGTGTCCTTGTAGCCCAGCAGCCCTAGTGAGTGAAATCCCCATCATTTCCCTGTTCTTGCCTGTGGACCACAGCAGCCTTCTCCTGACTGGTCCACTGTGATCCTGAGGAAGTTTTCTCATCTGCCTCCTAAGTGTAGTTACATGCATGCCACCCTCCCCAGTTGCTCCATTCTCCCAAGGGGTGTTTATTAAATGAAAATAAACTATTTTGCCATGTTTCTCCTGTGTATTTTTGTGCTGTCTTCCTGTTTCCAAAAGTAAACAAGGAGACAGGCACATTGCTCAGCAAATGGGAATATAGTGACACATCTGTCAAAGGTTAGAAACAGCTATTTCTGTGGTGTTTCCATACTAACCATAGTAAATAGTGGTCCCAGTTCCAGACAACCAGAGAAGCTGTGGTGCAAGATGAAAACGTTAGAAATGTTGATCCACTCAGTGGTTTCAGAAAACTAATCCTACATGCAGGAACTCTGGAACTGGATTTGGACGGTAAAGCAGACCCACAGGGGTAGGATGTCACCATGGCTTCTCATGGAAACCTGCCCATGTTTGGTGGCCTTCTAAAGGCTGGCAGATGCAATGTAGCATCCATAAACTTTTGTGGCCTAGAGTCCATTACACCAGGTGGTGCAGGCATTGGCTATTCCACACTACAGGCCATCTCTTAGTCTTTAAAGTCCATGAGACTCTTTTCTGTAACCCAGGAGCCCATACTTCCAGTGTGCTACTTGTGGGGACCCAACACACCTCCCATATTCTGTTTGGATTGCTGCCTTGGGACCCTAAAGCAAATGTGGATAATACAAAGGCCACAGGCTCTGGCTCCGGCTGCTCCCCAAAAGGCAAAAGCAAAATTAAAAGGTGCTGACATGTCCATTTTGACCCCATTTAAAAAAATACTGTGTCTGCTCTATAGCTCTTATGGTGCACCAAAATGGTCAAAGTAGTTGACCCTTTGTCACTGCTCTGGATTATTGGCACTGCAGTGGGATAGGGAATTGCCAAGCCAGGAGAGGGGGTGGTGGGAAGTTGTCCACCCCTGCCTTAAAGTGTGCTGTTGGTTGCCTCACCATGCCCCCCCCCCAATTTTCACAGTGGGTAGGCCCACTGTCACTCAGATTAGATGGCCAACCTTGTTGCTGGGAAAATGAGGGATTGGGGTGCTGGCCTCATTTCAGGGGAAACCACAGGGGCTCTTGGGCTTACTGCTGAAGGGCACAGGCATTTACACCAAGGGCTGGATCCAGGTTTATGCTGGATCACTTCCCAAGGCAGCCCCCTGAAAATGCTACATGCAGAGTCAGGAAAGCAGGCTGAACTGTGTGGGCTGTTGTGGAGCGAGGAGTTACCCCAAAATCTGGGGAGAAACTTAAGTGGTTTCCTTCCTCTTGTGGACAAATCCTAGATCCAGCCTTAAACAAAATGGCAGGCAGAAAAAGGCTGCCTCCTGGTCACACGGTCACTCCAGCCAGCCTGTTTCAGGTGGCTGGGCCTGGGCTGACCAAGTCCCAAGCAGCCTTTCTCCTCAGTCTGCTTTAACCGGAGGTGCTAAAGATCAAACCTCTTGCCTTGTTCTTGCAAAACATGGGCTCCTTATTGATTGTAACTCCTCCACCATGTTGCCTGGCTGTGCCCACTGGCTGTCTGGCTTGCTGGGACTGGACTAGCAAGAGAGCTAATGTGGTCATGGCTAAAAGGTTGACCCAAGAACTTGTGGGCAACCTTCAATACTCTGATTCCGCCCCCGACCCGCCCCCCACACACACACCAACATGCCTCCATTAGCACAATACTAGCCTATCTGGCAGGGCTGATTAAGAAATGCTGAAATAAAGCCAACCCAACCCAGTGTAATAACTGTTTATAAGATGGTAACATTGTTCAGTAAGTTACATCCCTTTAACTGTCGATACTGGAAGTAGTTAGAAATGCAGGTTTAAATGCTGGCCAGTATTTAAAGTCCCAAGTATGCCTGGGCTCAAAATGCTGTGTCAAATTTGCTGCATGGTCTCATTCCCCCATAGCATGCACAAATTAGTTCATGCAATTCTGAACTAATTTTTTTTGCGGGGGGGGGGGGCTCCTTTCGTCCTCCCTCCTCGAAACTAGCAGCATAGAGCTAGAAGCGAAGCGGCTAACCAACAAGAGTCTTTCCCCCTCCCCTCAATCCTGTATGGAGAGAAATAGGATGGTCTTAGAATAGTTGGATTTTACCATTTTTGTGTGTGTGCCAAGTTGAAAGGTATTTGTGGAAGAAGTCTGGTAGACAAGTCTAGAGTTGTAGCTGCAACGTGAGCCCATCGTAAGAAACAGCTGCGCACTAGCCAATTTCCTGTGTTCCCAAGCCTCACGAGTATATATGTACACAACTATCTAAATCATGAAGTCCAGAGATAAGTCATATTTCAGAAATCCTAGCGTGTCTGGAGTGCTGTAGTTTCGTTTTTGTTTTTGAAATACTCCTGGTTCTGTTGTGGGATTTCTTGAGAAAATGTTATATGCACATGTTGCTTCTTGAAGTCCACCGCAGCCAAGACAGCTTTAGTTAATGCCAACCATATGGACAGTTCGCAGCGAGTGAGTGGTCTCTGGGGAGAGTGTATGCTTAGAGGGAACACTGGTTTTCACAGACGCTCCAAACGGCTGTCTCTCTTCGAAGGCTTCAAACTCATTTTTTTATGCTTGTTTAAAAAGAAAAAAACCCACAGTGTGCCCAGTCTTTTGCAAAGCCCTTTAGATGTGGTTCATGGATATACTAATAAGTCTACATTTGTGTAAAAAAAATAGAAAAAGAAAGAAAAGGAAAGACGTGACCGTGCAGTGTATACAATACTTTAAATTATTACGATAGAAGAATAAAGTTACATACCATGTTATGGAATGTTTGTAATGTGCTGTTACTGACCCCTGGTGGATGCCAGGGTATGGCCACCACGAGGCTTCTTCACAGGTTGGATGTGTGTGTTGTGCCAGGTAATCTTAAGGAGCAATGCACCTCAAAAGGAGGTGCTTGCCCTCCGGATTGCCTTGAAAGATTTGGGATCTTTTCTGGGATTTGATGCACGTGGCCACAGAGAACAAGCCCTGGTTTTGCATGCACAGACAACACTTGGAAAGGAAAATTTATCCATCAGAAAATACAGAGTGGGCACAAGTTTTTAAGCCAATGTTTCCCAGACAGCAAACATCCCTGTATTTATTTCTAAAGAGAAAAAGCACTTTCTGCTTAGAGAGAGACTAACAGAAGTGGGGTGGTCGTGCAGCAGTCTGAGCTTGAGTGTCCAGAGCGTATCCCTAATTCTTAATACTATTTCTCTCTGAACTCTGTCTGTAGAAAAGATGAGTTTCCCAGACTTGTGCTAATTATTGTAAGAGTGCTTGATTGCTTCTTGATGACCTTAACTATTGTGTCTCTGAGTAAGATGAGTTCTTCATCTGTGTTTGCTAGATGCTATGGATGAGGTAATCTCTAGGTTCCCAGGACAATGGGTCATCTTCCTTGCAGGGCTGTTTTGCCTAATCAATCTAAAGGGAAAATATCTGACCTCCACCACCCCTCCAAATTCAACCATTCATCCTTCTCTCACACTTTTTAGCCCAGGATACTAGGTCCTTTCTCTTGAATTCAAGCCTATCCAACCTGGCCCAAGGCTTGAAAGCCTGTTATGGCCTGGAAGTTTATGTTTATGGCACTAATATTGATATATGCACACATGTTACAGGTGGCTGGTTCTGAATGATGTTCTTTTCACCCTTCCTTGCAGTTGCTGATAGGATTTGCCAAGGCACCTTGGCTCATACTGTTTTCACTGACCACCAGTGGTACTCCAGGGCAGCCTTTCTCAACCAGGTGACCTCCAGGTATGTTGGAGTGCAGCTCCCATAATTCTCAAACAGTGTGGTCTTTGGCCAAGAATTGTGGGAGTTGCAGCCCCAAACATCTGGAAGGCTTCTGGGAGGGTTCTCGGCCCTATTGGAAGTGTCGGATTGAATGCAGGACCTGCCTGTGAAGCACATGTCCTTCCTCAGACCAGCAGCGACCTGTGACTTTGAAATAACCATGCATAGCATTGCACTGTATGTCTGCAATCCTAAACCCACTTGCAAAATAAAGTGCCAATAGCATCCACAGCTTTTTCAACCCATCATAAGTGAACTTACTTAGAACTGAATTATTTAAAAATACATATTAGCATTCACAATTGCATTCAATTTTTTATTGTTCAGCTTGTCAGCATGTCTTTCTGATTATAGAACCAAGTAGGTCATTTGCAAGTTGTTTGCTTGGTTTGTCTGACAACCTCTGCAAATCTTGTTTGCAGTTATGTACCGTTAAGATGTTGAAAGCAAGCCTTGCATTTACTGAAGTAATATTTGCTTCACATACAGAGGAAGATGCAAGTCAGTTGACAGATTCTTGAAGCATGGAAGATAGAAACATAGAAACAGAGCGAGTCAGAAGGGGTCTCCCAGGCCATCTAGTCTGACCCCTGGCTCCAGCCAGCTCCGCTCATAACATGCCCACCATGTGCATGTCCAGCCTCTCTTATCGTAGATGTGCCATAACATGCAACATCAACTTACGGGACATTGCCTTTCTTTATCTGATTGTTCCTTAGGGCCATCTTGTTTCTCTAGACTACAGGGAGGAGAATATTTTTCCTTGAAAGCTGCTCCAAGTTGCTGTGTTAGAAGGCCTCAAATGGAGATACTGGATACAGAGGTCTCCTCTGACCTGGCTAAGATTAATTTGGATTGGTAGATAAGCAGACCTGCAGTATGGATTTTTCCCAAACAAGCGCTTTTGCTAGAGCAGGGGTTGGAGACCTTTTCAGTCTCAGAAATGCTTCGCCGTGATGGGTAAGATCACAGGCAAAACCCAACTTTCTCCCTATTCCATTGTTACCAATTTATAGTAGTGAATGTATCTACTCAGAAGTAAACATGAGCAGCATTTTTGTTTCTGGCTAAGCAGGACAAAGCTCTTGCAAGTTCTGCTCAGAATTAAGCGGGGAAGAATCATATCAATGATCCTTTCAAATACAAGCCCCATCTATGGAATGCGCTCCTCAGAGAGGTCCGCCTGGCGCCGTCTTTATTTGTTTTTCGGCGCCAGGCTAAGACCTTTTTATTTAAAACTTATTTTAACTGCTAAATTATTGTATTAATTAGGATTTTAAAATTTTTAGCCGAGAATGCACTGGGGGTTTTTAAATGTTGGTTTTTTTTCTTCTTTTAATTGCTTTATTATTATTATTTATGTATGTTTTAGGTATTATTTGTGAGCCGCCCCGAGGCTTTGTTGCGATGGGGGCAGCATAGAAATGTTTTAAATAATAATAATAATAATAATAATAATAATAATAATTTCAAACACTAGATCTCTGCAGGCCTTCTCAGAGGTGAGCACAAGCATCAGGTCTGCAGAGAGCATGAAAGAAGTTGTTCTTTTGTTGTCCCACAGCTACAACATTCGCCTGAGGTGCATACAGCAGTGATAAAAACATCTGGTTGGTTATTTCATATATGACATTTTCCTGAAAAATTATCATCAAATGCTTTTCACTTTCTTATAATATTTTTATTTTTCTGCAGAGTTAAATAGACTATAGCAAATATTATTTGCAGTGCCGGCCATTGCAAGGAGAAGAACATACGCTTGGTATTCTTTTGGTTTCTGCATTAACCCAGAAGCTAGCCTGTATCTCTCAATTTCCTAATCTGGGGGATCAATTAATCAAATTTTTGAAAGTGAAATTTTGGCAGTTCTTATAAAAGCCATAGCTTTACAAACTTCATTTGACTCCCTGATTATTCCAGGATCTCTCTTTTTGTCTTCCATCTCTAGTTCCCTTTTACTCTCTGGTGGTTCTTCTCTGCTCTGTTTTTCAGATTTTAAAATTTTGTTCCATTTGTTCTCTTTTCTCTTTTGGTCTCCCTCTCATTCTTTAAACCTGGAATTTATCTTCTTTCCCCCCACCTTATCTCTTTTCTGCTGAGCCCATTCTAACACGATGAGAAAAGTATGCAAGAAAAACCATTGGCTATGTGGAGATAAAAACTGAAGTGCATCTCATAGAGTTGCCCTTTTATTGCACTCCACCAATTCTTATTCTCCCTTTCATCTATAATGATAACATACCATGCCAGAATGTCTACTCACGAGGAAGCAGGGCAAGCTTCTGTGGAATAAGGTTCAGAAGGAAGCAAATCTTTCAGGCATTCCTCTCCTGGCCGGTGCTTCAGGGAAACGCTGTTATCTCTGATCACCTGCTGATGAGAAATGAGAGCTTTCCCTCTGCAGCAGAGGAGGCAGGGCCAGGCGGGCTGGTGGCACTGAGCCCCTTTGCTATTATTACTGCAAGAATGACACCAAAGCTGTAATCCAGACGGCCCGAAGGCACTTTGAACTGATCGCTTGTAGTGTAGGAAGCCCAGTTACAACTAGAATGTGCCTCGAAAGCCAAAATATGCACATACATCCCTCAGCCTTTAGCCTTCAACTCTGGCCATCATTGGGATTGGGTCTCAGAGAGCGTTGAAATTGAACCCAGCCTTCCTGTGTTGGGAGAACTTAGCTCTGCCCTAAATTCATGCCTGACTCTCACCCATGAAGGGAGCCTGGTTCCAAGCCCAGTGGTTTCCCATGTATGCCGCTGAGTTGTGGCTGCTGCGTAGGGTAAGCTGCTTTGAATATACCCACCAGTCTCAGATAAATGTCTGTTGCAACTCAACTACTTTCCCTCATAGGAGAGGAAGCAATCACTTTACTTCTCCTTTGCCCACCCTGGCTCTAAAGCATTTGTGTGTAATGCAGATTCTTTCCAACTCCAATGCCCTTTCCATTTGCATTGCTTTTCAGTAGCAGGCCCCAGCCTTACTGTAACTCATCTGCAAAGCTGGTTGCTCTCAGATCTGGAATCCAGAGTTGTGTTTATTCAGGAAGAAAATTGCATTTGTCCACATTCATACACACTGCAGGATCGCCTGCAGAATTTCCATTGTTGCGAGTGATAATTATAGTATGTCCTACATTTCTCTCTAAGTGTTCTCATTATTTATTAGTTTGTTACAGAAACATAACAACCCCCTGGGTCAGCCTGATGATGCTCAGTTCTCAAAGAGGCATTACAAAATTTAAAAATGGCAACAGTCTGATGAGAAGGATGAAAATCCAGTAGAATATTGAGATGGTTTTAAAACAGAGTAAAAGGCTAAATATGCTCTCCTATGCATATTTAGACAGAAAAAACATCCAAGAAGTCCCAGAGGCTTGGGTGGGTCAAAGAGTTTTCACCTGGTGCCAGAAAAGCATCAGGTATCAATCAGATGAGATTCTTTTGGGAAAAGCATTCTAAAATTGGAGTGCCATAACCAAAAAGGCCATCCCCACCAAAGGCCTTGAAGGATGATCTTACAAACTTTTTGTGGGGGAGGCACCTGGGACCCAAAGCCACCTGGGGCATTTGAGGTATCTTGGATTTCAAGCAGAAAACAGATTGGTGGCTAGTTCAGTTATTTCAAGAACAATGCTGTGTTCTGCTCATAAGAGTCCCAGTCCAACTGAGTTGCTGAGTCCCGCTGTTATGAATAACTGATCAAGATATGAATAAAATTCCCCAGAGAGGTTTGCCTGGCGCCGACATTTTATCCCTTTCAGTGCCAGGCCAAACCCTTTTTATTTTCCCAGTATTTTTAGGTTTCAGGGTGATTTTAATGTGGGGTTTTATTATATAGCAATTAATTTGGATGCTGGGCTTCACCCTGTTTACTGTAAGGCCATCCTGAGACCTCAGTAGTGGACAGGATATAAAAGTTTTAAATAAATAAATAAAACATTGAAACTCATCTCCCTTTAGCTATGTTGCCACTCTTGCTGTACATTTTGTGATTAGGGCATATCATATTGGCAGTATGGACTATTTTCTGTGGCAAATGGCAATGGATATAAAGACATAGGCAGTCTCTTAAGTTCACAGTTAACCACTATAACCTTTCATTAGCAGACTAGTCTTTGTCTATTGTGGTTTGCAGCTTTTCAGGTACCTGAAACCCATTATGGGTGCTTTTATCTCCCCCATTCCATTTTGATTATAAAATATCTTTTGTAGAAACTCCTTCCTGTCTGTCCTCCAGTTTCATCTTGCCTTGCTTCTTTTGGGAGAACAATTGCTTAGTTCAGAAACACTTGATTGCAAATCAAACTGTCATTTCTCAGTGGGATGCTGCATCCTCGGAATTCTGCATTGCCATTCAGTGCTAGAGATTTGGAGGACATGAAGATCTTTAGTTATTTGTTTCCACTGCTGTAGGAAAGGATTCAGATATTCTAGGAAAGAAAGCTTCTGGCTCAGATTAGTAGTAGTGCTGAAAATACAGAACCTGCAATAGGACAGAGGTGAAAGATGGAAGTGGGACATGCAGAACCAGCATTTCGCACTCCAGATCTTCAATCACTGTGCTTTGAGGAAGGGCAAAGACAGCATCATCCTGGGATGGCCATTCTTCCAATGCCACTAGGCTTCCTGTGAAGAAAAGGCTTAAACTGGTTTTTAGTAATGAAATCTCTCTAATCCCTGAACCAATTCTTCGAAAATGTTGCAGCTTTCTTAGTTGGATACACCTCTATGATATATTACCATTTCCATACAAATTGCTCCCTTGAAAGAACAAACTGGGGAGGGGAAAGGGGAAGCAAATCACTCACTCTTTCAAATTGGAGAATTCCTTTTCTAAATAAATTGCGGCAACAATTGATCCTTATGACACTTCTTTGGATCCAGTGGTTCAATAAAAGAAAAAAAAAGTAAAAAACCGCATTGGTGGAAAGTTTTCCCTTCTTGCGGTACAGCCCCCAAACACACTCCAGAAGATTGGGGGACCCTCCAGAGTGGATCTGGGAGGCACATGGGGAGCTGGGGTGGGGAGGAAAGGGTGGGTAAGTCTTGTTCCATTAATGAAGTACCCTTGTGCAACATTGGATCTGATTTATTATTTGGTTTTGGTAGGGTCCCACCCCCTTTATTCAACCACAGGGAATAAATTGGTAAACTATGAGAAAATTAATTCTGTAGCCTGAGTATTAGGATAATAGGAGCATGATTCAAGTAACAGTCAAGACTATTTAGGGTGGTCTTTCAATTTTTTCTTGTAGTTTTGCATGCAAGGGCCAAAGCCTATTGGTAAGTACATTTTTTCTTCCTTTAACCTTCTCTTGGAAATGCTAACTGCTTTTGTTTTACACATTTGTAGAGTGTTGTGATATTATACCATCAATGAAGTTTTTTGTATCCAAGACTTCCATCTGATAATCCACAGTAGATGCATACAAGCCTGTGGCCTGTGAATTCAATGAATGAAGCATGGTGTGGCAATCCCCCCCCCCCCGCAAATGCATGTTTGGTTGTTGCTCTCTCATGCTTGAGAAGCTGAGAGGTGGCGGCTGGGGAGTGATAGGAATCATTGTGTAACCAGCCTCCCTCCTTTCCTGGCATGTTTCTTTCTATCCTCTCCAAGCCTCAGTTGCATGCTTGGAAAGGAAGCGGACATGTCCCAGTTCAGGACCTCAGATTAGGGTCTCCAGAAATTCTAAACCTTCCCCAGACTTCATTACATGGGGTTGTACCCTAAACATGTTTGGCTTGTGTTGGAATGTAGTTCATTGCATTCGAACTTTAAAGATTTTTATATGTACTGTTTTGTGTGTTACTATAGATTTGTGTAACAAGTTCTGTACAGCAGCCTCCTCCCAGCTGGTGCCCTTCACTTGTTGTGGCCTATGTGTTCATTGGCCTTGCTAGCTGAGGTATGCAAGACCTAAATATCTGGAGGGTACAAAGCTGGTGAAGACCGCTTCCTTTCAATTCCTTTGTTATTCCTTTATTCCCTTTCTGATGTAATAAACATTTGTTAAATATTTTTTGCCTTTTGTCCTTGGATGGGTCTTTCTGCTACATGGATATTGACCCTGGCTAAAATCAAAGTTTGCCGAGATGCACAGTGGCCATGTATCATAATTTAAAAATTTTAAACTTACTGAGATAAGAAAGGTTTTTCAATTTGCAGTGGCTGAAAAGGAACTGAATGAGAACTGGCACCTCTCACTGGAGCAGCAGTTGGAACAGACCTATTTTCCGAGTTCAAGTGCAGCATAAATGCACCTCATGCACATTTTGGTACCTGGTCCATGAACAATTAGCAAGATGCTTTTGTTTCAAGGCAACATGGCCACCCTCCAAGAATCCTTAATAATTTTGCAAACTTTGTCAACTTGTGACTTCCCCTTCCTACAGTCAGCCACTGCAAACTTAGCACTATCCACCTGTCCAGTTGGCATATATGAGAAACTCCTCATACTCATGTGGGAAATCAAGCTATAGTACCTCCACATGGTTAACGTGTTCCATAATACAGGGCTTGTTCATATTGTAATGGTTCTGATAGTCTTGCTAAAATGCATGCTTCCACAAATACATTGCAATTGTGCTGACCACTGAAATGGATGTTTCCATGCACGTTTCATACGATGGAAGCATCATCGGTAAACTCATGCTTCTACAGCTTACAATCACACTAGACCCTGAAGGTATCCTAGGAGTGAAGTCCATGTAGAGGAGAGAGAGATTTGACCAGGAAAGTATCTTTGTTTTGAGTACAGAAACTTCTCCCATTCTTGCTGCACCAAGAACATCAACAGGAAAGAGGCCCCCAACATAGTACCTGAAAAGAGGAGACAACAGACCAGTCGTGCAGCTGGCATGCCCTTTTCCTTTCTTTAGTGTGACTACAGCTGGATTTGGCTAGTGTTTCACCATGGACTCTCACTCCCCTCCCTTGTTGAATTGCTCTTAGTGAGACTTGTTCATGTTATAAAAGCAATGTATTTAAAAATTCCAGCATGACCAAATCAATGAACATTTTCACATTACAACTTTTAAGCAACAACATTTTAGTTCTAAAAAAAATCAACCAATAGTTTAACTAGAAATCTTATTACAGAAAGAGTAAAGAGGTTTCTTTTTCACAGTTTTATATTCTGAGCAAGGGTTTCATCGGATATTTTATTTCAGAAGGTAATGCTTTTTCCACACTTGATCGCCACAGGCCAATTTTGAAAGGAAAAGACTGAAGGGGGAGGGAAACTCATTTAATTTACAATAATTTACAGCCATTTTGTAAAAAGGCATTACAACTGATCAAACTGGAGAACGCCTGGCTATTTTACAACTATAGGTACAGAATTTAAATATTCAAGCTTGTGATGAAAAAGCGGCAAGATGGTCGCAGTGTACAATGTAAACAAGTAGCTTTGGAAAGTGAACAAAGTCCTTGAATACTTCTCTCTCTCTTAAAAAAAACAAACAAAAAAACCCCCTTCTTGATTCTTTCCTGAAATATGATCACAGGATGTGAATGCTCATCTACAAACATAATTTAAATTGTGTTCAGGATAAAACCACTTTGACAAGGAGTTCAGATTAAGATCCAGTCTGAGTGGGGCAGTGTTGAGGTCCCTGTAAAAAGTAAACATCTTTTCTTTAAAAAAATGTGCTACAACATTTGCAACACAGTGCAGCATTAAAACTTTAAATACAAAAATATTTCTTTTTCTGTTGGGATAATAGACCTAGCATATTGGAAAGTAGTAACAATACTGCTACTCATAGCACATCCGGTCCATGTCTTTCAAGTCATGTAAGGCAATTGCTGTGTTAGTTTATTGTGTATGGCTAAAAAACAGTCCAGGAAATAATAAGTCTTTGCTATGTTTTCCGGCCACTCCACATATGTTCCGGTGTACTTTTGTGATCTGTTGAATGTTCAAAAGGAGATCGGTGTCCTAATGGAGATCGTGCGTCATAGGGTGATCTCTGATCCAAGGGTGACCTAGGGCCACTACTGGAAGCTCTGTGATCCATTTGCCAGTCTGAATGGTATCTATAATCCCTTGAAGATTTATGATGGCTGTAGTCTGAACTGGATCGATGATCTAAGTGTATTCGATGCTCTGAGTGTGACCGAGTGTCTTTTAAATTGCCTTCCACATTTGACCTATGATCTCTATTCCTGTGGTCATCCAGCTTTCTATGTTTGCCATCAGCGTAGTATCTAAAAAATAGGAAAAGTAAATAATGTGAATGGAAATTAGCATAAACAGTAGAACCTCTAGGGCTTGCATCAATAAATAATTATTTTTAAATGTTTTCAGTTTCCTAAAAGCAAAACATATTCTTCAAACTGCAGTCAGAAAAAAGTATATGAAATGTTTCCTAAGAGAGTAGGATAAGCAAGAACAGTAAAAGGTTCTTGAAAGTAAGTAGTTAGCAGAACAATCCTATCAACCTCTTGTGAGCAGAACAGGATCAATGTAAAACAAGCGAAGGTTACATCGCTCTTTTTGGTTGATTTTGCTGTTTTTTAACATGAAAATTGCATCAGCTGCTGCCAATGAGGCATTTCCTTCAAATGCAAACAGAAGCTTCATGAGAGGGATTTTTCTTAGTAGGGAAGGGAGGGTTAAAATTTCTTTCCATGCCTGATCCCCTTTAATAATTTGTTCTCCCTCAGCTGATGCCGCCCCTTCCCAATACTCATATTTTTGAAGATGAAAAAAGAGATGTCATTCATTAGCAGTTGTTTGGCCACCTACTATGGGCAACCTTTTCTGAGCTCAAAATCTGCTGGCTGTACCATTTAAAATTTGAGTTTAAATCAGAGTTTTAAATTCTATATTACAGTTTGGGATATGTTATTGCTACTTTGTATTGTATTTTGACTGTACTTTATCTGCTGTTGTGTACTGCTCATTGGGTGGTACAGAACTAATATGAACAATCATCATCATCATCTTCTGAATAGCATGACAAGTTAATTATAATACTGGAAGAAGCAAGGCTCAGCTGCTGTCACTGAACTCACCTGTAATCCTGTTTATAGTGATCCCAATCCCTGTGATCTTTTCCATTGCTGAATGTGGAATAAGGCCTTTTTCTAGAATCACTTTTTTTGTAGGTGTCTCCATGAAGTCTCTCCTTGTGATGATCATGATACTGTGATAAGTGTCTGTCAGAGGAATAACTATCTCTGCTACTATCATCATGATTTGTGTTCTCTTTTAGTCGCTCCACATCTGATTAAACAGAAGAAGAGAGTTTTTTTTTGTTTTATTTGCATAATCAAAATTACTAGCTCTCAACTCTAATGTTCCTTATCAAATGCAGGTGAGGCAGTGACTATCCTTGAACTCACTGAGGAGCCAGATTAACCTGGATTCAAGCCAGACAAAACAGAGGTTCTGCTTGGGTTTGTCTGTCTTGATATATAGAATTCAACCTGCTCTAAACAGGATCACATTCCACTGGAATGATCATGTTTGTAGTCTGGGAGTGCTTACAGATCTAACTTTGTCATCTGAGCCTCCAAACACCTTTTAAGCTTCAGCTGATATACCACCTGAATACTGCCCAGACAGAAAAAGCCCATTTAGCGTTATCCATTTGCTGGTAACATCCTGCCTGGATTACTGCAGTAAGTTACATGTGGGTCGACCACTAAGGATTGTACAAAAACATTGGCTCCTTGCCAGGACTAGGAATTTTGAATGTGCTACTCCAGTGATACATAAACTTTGCTGGTTGCTAGTCAGCTTTCTGGCAGGATTCAAAGGCTGGATCCACACAACAAGCCTTGGTTTGTTCTATGGTTTCCCTGTACCACAATGGTTTGCCATGTGCCTGAGCCCAGGATAATGGTTACTATGGTCCTAGTATGCAACTATCATAGAACTACTCAGGAAATAGTGGGAAACTACAGAAGCTGCTCCAGCCATCCAGCCCCTTTGTGTGGACCAATGAGGGAGAGGCAGGCAACACAGGCAAGGAATGATGTACCTTGGGATTGAATTTCAGGCACAGTGGCTGATAGGGTATGTGCCAACAGTGGGAAGACCGAGTGGGGAGGATGGAAACCATGGGAAGCAGAAACCACTTGATTGTTTGTCAAGTAGATCCTGGTAAAAAAAACTGAATAATGGTAACCATGCATGGTTGCTTGTCATGTTGTATGAACACAGCTGAATTGCTGATGTCAAACTTTAAAGTTCTAAATGGTTTAGGAGCACTTCAGCTGGAAAAAAAAAATGCCTTCAGAGATGTGTGCCAAATCTACTTTGGGCATTCCCTGGGCTTGGCTTCTTGGACTACAGTCCACTTTGCTGCAACTTTGAGTTTGAGTTCCTGGCGAATGCACCCAGTGTTTGTGCAACATTTGCCAGGAACTAAGACCTGCACAAATGCTGCACGAGTGGCGTCTCTCTTTCACGTCAGGCACACCAGCTTTTGCTTGTGTTCCATGTGGCATGAAAGAAGGCTTCTGGTTGCGCAACCTTTGTTCTGCAAGTGGTTGTGGATGCCTCTCTGCTTCGCTTGCTTTCTAAGACAGCGCTGAGCTTGAGACAGAGGGATGAATTTCATGCTTTGTTGCAACCCTAGATGGCTTCTTCCACATACTCCTGCCCAAGGGTTCAAGAAAATCTTTAGAGGTTCTTCTCTGGGTGCTGCCCCCCGCCCCCAAAATGGTGCAATAGGTGACTACCAGGGAAGAAACATTTTTACTGTGGCCACACAGTCTGTTGAATGCCATCCTCCCCATGGGAAACCTTGTGTCTTCACTGTATAATTTCAGGTGTCAGGCTAAGAACTTTTTCTTCAAGCCAGCATTTAATCTTAACATTTTCTTTGCCTGTATTATTGTGATGATTGTTATTTTTCAGATGAGTTGGGTTTTATGCTTGTGAAGCACTCTGACAGCACATGTCAGTTTGGAAGTACATACATCAAATAAACAAACACACTGATTTTAGAACTGGACTATGATACATATGTGCTTATTATACAAAGATTAAGGTTGACATTCTCACCTGGATTTCTGATAAAATGTGTATTCACACTGCTGCTGATATTCTGCTCATTGTGTTGCTGAAAGAAAGAATTAAGGAAAGCATAATTCAGGTTTAGTTTGGTGATAGTCAGATTTCAGCTACAATAACTTTTCTTACAAACTGTTTGTTCACAGCTACACTGCATTCTATTAATGTGTATTTAAAATTCATAAGACGTATTTTAAAAAGTTTCTACCTGAGTTTCTTGACGTTTTTTTATTGCATGTTTGTACAATTTGTGTAGCTTCCTGGCATCAAATTCTGTAAATTTGGAAACAAAAATCCACAAGTTTCTACAATTGGAGAGAAAAAGAAAGTGAATTAGATTCTCAGTGTTATGAAATGCCATTAATAGGTCATGCTTCTGATTCTCCAACGTATAACTGGTATAACAGTATTACCATTCATTTGAGTTTTTCTTATAAAATTAACTGTGCCATATAAAATATAAAAAATAATTACAGAGACCTAAATCTTCACAAGAGAAAAATACTCTAATTGGGTGGAGAATCTTTTATTTCAACATATTAGACTTTGTGACTGAACAAGAGATTTAACAGAGAGAAGCCACCACCTAGTGGCTAATATACAGATTGCACTAAGATATAGCTGCTTTTTTTTTGTTGCTTCATGACAAAGAACAATACAAGACAAAACGCCTTTTTATTGTAAACCTTCTCCTACCCTAAAAGGCTAGGCTTACTAGTTTTTTGTTATATGGCCCTAAATACAAAAAGATATACACAATTTCCATGCCTTTAAAATGTTGGCCAGGCAGCAAACCCCATCCATTAAATGCATACTGTATATGTTAAGAAAAGAGGCGTTTGGATCTCCGTTGATTACCGGAAAGCATCAGAGAATGGCGAATTCCTAAATCTTCTCAAAAAATTATATTAATTTGCAACATACCTACATGTGGCTGAATTATACATCAAAAGGTTCCTTACCTGTAACTGATGTTCTTCGAGTGGTCATCTGTACATTGACATATATAGGCTCTGCACCTGTGCGGAGCCTGTTGTTGGGAAGATTTTCCAAGCTAAGCTCATTTTTGAAGGCAGCTCTGCCCCCTTTCCCTTTAGGGTAAATAGGAAGTGCTCCTGTCATTTCCCCAGTTCTGAGACTGACAGTTTGATCTCGGTACCAGGGAAAGAAGATGGTCTTGTGGATCCATGGTTGAAACTGTACTGCTGTAAGGGCACAGTTGAACATCTTGGTTTTAGACTGTCTGGTTTGGTTTTTGTGGGCCTGCTGTGTGAAAACCTGGCAGTAGGAGCCACTGTCTTTGCCAAGACGAAAAAGGAAAAGAGAATCCATGTCTGTAGAGGGCATTTGTGTGCCACAGCAGCCGTATTTCTGAAAAGCTGCCGTGGGGGCCATCAGGGAGAAGAGTAGAGATGAGGTAAGTGAAACAGAAGGATTACATGATTTTTTTTTTTAAAAAATAAGGATTCAGTAAAAGTGGGTATAAAATTGAGAAAGATAGCAGGTATTTCAGGGTTAAGAAGATTCTAGAAGTCGAGCAAAGATGCTAGGAAGAAATGGAGCGCTAGAAACCTGAGGCACCCAAAACAGCGGTTGGAGAAGAACTCGGGAAAATGGTGAGAGTTCCTCCTATTTATATTAAGTGCAGAGGGGTGGAACTCCCTCTGAAATTAAGTTTAGCTAGGAAATTCTTCCTGACAACAGGCCCCACCAAGGCACAGAGCCCATATGTGCGATGTATGGAAACCACAAAGAAAAGGCAAATCTGTAACTTTTTCCAGTGTTTTTCACCTTCAACAAATGGAAGGCAAACTAAAGTTGTTCTTCCCACACAGAATCAAAAACAGGTGAGAAAATTTTAGCTAGGAGGGAATGGATAAGCAGCCCTTTCCCACGACCACTGAGATTCCAAACTCACATGCATATTTTTTCCTGAAAATGGGAGCTGGAGGCATAGAACCATGACAATGCATACTTTGGCCCATAGTTGTAACAAAGGCATTTATAAAACATTTGTTTTGTCTCTGAGGTTACTTACTTTCTCCACTGTTTGATCTGGTCAGGATTTGTGTATTCTTTTAGACACTCGGTTATATGATCTCCAATTTTGATAAGACACTGCCTAGTATGCTCCAGCTGTTCCCTTTCTGAAAGACCTTTCTCTGGTCTATCTAGCTGTTTTAGTGCTGCTTTGACAGGCCTCATTCTTTCTTTGCACTGTAAAAATAATATGCAACTGAATACCCAGACATGGAGACATATAATTCTACCAAACAACCTATCAGTACGGTCAAATTTATGGATACACTGAGCATATGTACTATGAAGATTCTGCTTACAGTAGTTTTTCATGGCATATTTTCTATGACACTCCATCCATTTGAATTCTATTATTGAACATTACATATAAATTACTGATATTTCAAATCTCTTAAGACAATTTGGAAGTACAAAACCACCAACATTTATTACTCAAAAATACCAAATTTTCTGAGAATGCAGACTGTTCACTGCTGAAGGTGCTCCTTGCTATGCCCAAGTTTTTCCAGAGCAACTGGGCACATTCAAAATTGAGCACCATTGTACAACTGACTCCATTTTTGCCTATTCCCTAAGAATGGTTTCTGGTCAGTTATGCTGCAAATCAAAGCCATACTTTTACTGACACAGACACATTTTTGATAAAAGTAAAATCAGAAAGGCTAGGACAACTTGGGAACAACTGAGGCTGTTTCCATAAGTACTGTGGCACCTATGGGTTCTGTACTGGAAACCCCTATCCTTGATGTTATTGTTCTTTGATCTTCATATAGAGTTCTTGATAGAGTTTCAGCCATATATTATACTATATATAGAAAATGTATGTAATGAGAAAAACCTCTCCCATAATACTAGAATATGGGTTCATCTCATGAAGCAGTATCATGGGAGATTCAGGATAGATTATTTCATTCATACAGCATATTATTATATGACATATTCCTATTAGGAGAGGTAGTGATGACCACCAACTTAGGTCGCTTTAAAAGACGATCATGCAAATTCATGGAGCATAAAACAGTCAACACCTTCCAGTCATTATGGTATGTATTATCTCCAAAAGGAGAGGTGGTATGCTGCCCCTCTCCCCAGTTGCTGGGAACATGCATGAGAGGGTGCTCTTGCGCTCATGTCCTGCTTGTGGGCATCTGGATGGCCCATGTGCACAGAATGCTGGACAAGATAGACCTTTGGTCTGATCCAACACGGCTCTTTTTATATTCTTACAATTAAAGCATCAAGTCCATTAGTACCATTTGTAATACTTATGGTGCTATCAATACTCATGACACTTGACCAATTAACATAAATTTCCAATTAACTTGACCAATTAACATAAGTTTCCACAAAATGAAACTGAGTTCAGTAAAATGATAAACAAGTTTACTTAAAAACCCTGTGGCAAATTGCATGCTGGTATGCCTGGGCATCTGAATGGTTATAAACCTCTGAAGGAAAGCAAGACAAAATGGGAGGCATGTGAAAGAAGTTTCGGGAAGCATCTTGCTCTTCTGCATGGTAGGATAATTTTTATTTAACCAATTGTTCAGGGGCAGGACATGTGAACAAGGGTGCAGTCATAAAATAGTAGTGTGGAGAGGACAAAACACATACAATGCTTCCTATCTCTCTGTGCTGTACTGCATGGGCAGCTGCAACTCTGCTTGAATCCACAGCACATTATTTCTGGCCTGCCCACCCTCCCACTTGTTCACATCTGTCCTTCCTGTGCTAATTTGCTGCTTTAAACTAAGTTGCTAATTGATATTCGTGTGTTATTTTCAGGTTAGTGGGGTTGGGAAGAAACTGCACCTGTTTTTGTACTCCTTATAGGAATCTGAGCTCCCGTAGTTTCCTGCTATAAATAAGCTACACACTCTGTGCAATTCTGGTCAGCAATTAATTTTGGTCAAAGGTTGCCGTGAGAAAGGGATGTTCCAAAGCTAACCTCTCAGAATTACCCACCAGAATACACTATCCCTGCAGTTGCCATTTCAATATTCTTCTTTTGCCCTTGGATTGGTGTTGCTGGCAACAACTTTCCAGAGGCCAGAATTGGCTCAGGGTATATGTGTTTTCCCCCTGATAATATAGATACTGGATTCATATATCTCATAATTCAAGCTGGCATGACAAAATAATGACATACTATTGTATCTTTAATATTAGCATCAAATAAGTCTTACTATACTGAATGTCTTCTGATCCAGCTCTTCAGATTCTTCAGATATAGGAACTGGCTCACTACTTGCTGTTATATGAACAGGTGTGTCTGCTGAAGGGGTTTTCTTGGTTTTGTCTTTGCTCTCAGATTTGGACTCATTTGTCTAGAAATGTAAAAGATCCCAGATTTCTAAAATAATGGGTTACATACAGTGAAATGCAAAGCACTGCTTCACACATTGCACAAGTACACTGGATAGAAAATAATTTTACCAGGAAAGCAAATATACAAAGAGCCAGTCAAAATTTCCCTCCCCTTTGACAGCTTATAGCCTCATGCCACTTGAAGCATACAGTACAGCAAGTGTAGGCAACTTTTTGGGGCCTGTGGGCATATTTGGCAATTTGAGAAACTGCCCTGGAAACTACTACAAAATGGGTGTGCTGCAGATGAAAGCATTGGCCTGCAGCCATCTTCATTGCCCAAGAATGGATCTGAACCTAAAGTTTAGCTCAAGAAATTTATCTGAAAGGATGACAGAACAGCTAGATGCCCTTAATTCACACTGAAGCACTCCAGCTGCCCCTAAGAAACTATTATTATTTCAATCAAATAAAATGTGGGATGGAGAGCACCTCGTCAGATGTCAAGAAGGTTGTGCAAAGGTGCACTAGTGCCCAAGGGCACCTTGTTGGCTAGCCCCATAGTACAGGAAATAAAAATACAGTCTATTTTCACTGGGGATGGGGAGATCTAATACTGCCCAAATGTAACTACCTTTTCTTCTTTTACTTCTTTTTCTCGCTGCATGTATTCTTTTGCCTTGCTTTCTCTCTTCTCTTTTATATCTTTTTCTCTCAACTCCTTCTTGTCCTCTTTTTCTTTTTTCTCCCGTTTTAGATCCTTCTTGTTTTCCTTGGATTCTCTTTTCTCATCAGTCTCCTTTTTCATAGTAATATCTATATCAGGGTTTTCTTCATTTTCTTTTTCTGTTTTTATTTTTTTATTTGGATGTTTCACTGAAGCCATTTCATCCTGGAAAATGCAAGCACAATTGCTACAATACAGAGTCTAAAAGTTCTAACATGTATTTCTACACATATATACAAGACATTACAGTAACATTTACGCAATGCATTCTACACAGGGCTGCCCTGAAGACTGTTTGGAAAGGACTGATGGTCTGGACATATAACTCCAATTCTGGCCCACTTGCACTGGCTGCCTATATGCTTGTAAGCCCAATTCAGGTTGCTGGTTTTAACCTATAAAGTCCAACTTGGCTTGGGACGGTGATACCTGATGGAGCACCTTTCCTAACCTTCATCTATCCAGACACTATGATCAAGTTCTGCAGCCTGCCTCTGATTGCTATCTCTGAGGGAGGCTTGGCTGGTGGCGACAAGGGGAAGGATCTTTACAGTGGTGGTCTCCTGTTATGGTACGAGCTTCCCACTGGGGCCTGCCTGGTGCCAACCTTACTATCTTTTTGGTGCTAGATAAAGATCTTAGTACAGGGCGCTTAACTAGTTTACTGGAATTTGCTAGCTGCTAAACAGGTCTTAAAATTATTGTAACTTTTAAAAAATATCTGTTTTAAATTTACTTTAAAGTTTTCTACCTTAAACTTTTTAATTAAGTTTTAACATGGTGTAGTATATATTTTTAATGTGTTGCTGTAAACTGCCCATGGAGCTTACACTATTGGGTGGCATAGACATCAATTAAATAACCAAATAACAACAATAATAATTTAGCATTTTGTTGCTTTTTCTGAAGACTCCTTCCAATTTATTATAAACTACTGTTTGCAAAAGCTGTTTTTTTTTTTACTTATATTTTCCAGTGGAGCACGGGTAGGTAGTGGGAGAGGTTAAGAGTTATTCTTTTTCTATTTAAATTCAGTTCTCAGGATGAATTTAAACCCAATTACTGTCCTTTATCATGTACTGCAATTTTCTTACAGTACATGATAAAGGACATCTCCTTTAAAGCAGGGGTGGAAAGCCTGTGATCCTCTAGATGTTTTGGCTTACAATTCCCATTTTGCTCACCATTGGTTACACTGACTAAGATTGATGGGAGTTGTAGATCAAAACATTTGGAAGGATTAATTCATGGCAAGAATTAAAGATGCAGGAAAGAACAAAAGAGTGGCTCTTTTATCATCAAAAAGTCTCAAGATTAAAAAAATGAAATTCAAACTGGAAAAGGCGTAAGAAACTTGACAGACTTTGAAAATATAATTAAAAATCAAGCAGACCATCTCCTAGGACATGTTTATAAACCTTGTTTAACTATGATACTGAGATTCAACAAGACAAAATATGCATGAAGAGCTGGATGCAGAATCTTGAAGAAGAAATATTGGCACATCAATGGGAAGTCTTATGGACAAGGACGTAACATTTACCACATGCCAAGCACTAAGGTAAAATTGGCGTAAGATACATTTCTGGTGGTATATTAGCCTAAAAGATATACAGAAAATGGACAAGAATTATAACAGAAAATGTTAGAAATGCAAAGAAATAGATGAGACATTTTACTATATGTGGTAGACATATGACAGAATCAAAAAAATGAAAGCAAATACATGCTGAGATGCAGAAAATACACAACATGGACTTTCCGGTGAATGCCAAGTACATGTTACTGAGTTTGTCCCAGAGACTATCCCAAATAAATGGTAACAGCAACAAGAGTGATAATTGCCTCAAAATGGAAAGCTGAAGACTGCCTAGCAGTCAAAGACTGGCAAAACAAACTAGCTGAGTATACAACAATGGTGAAGCTAGTGAATTATGACAACAGAAGACCAGTTAAATAATTTACTCAAAGATGGAAGGCTTACTACAAACAATTTAAATAATGGTTACAGAAAATATATTTTTTCCAAATGTTTGTGATTACTATTAATCACCAAAGCAATGTTATGACCTATAACTAACTGTATAGGCTCTGGATAAATATATGACTGAGAACTGAATGGGTTGGATGGGAAAGTGGTTGATAGAGACTTTTATTTATTGGAAATGTGTTTAAATGAGGAGTTGCTTGCTAAATCTTGGGAATGATCCTAGGTTTTTTTTGTCCTACATACCCCCCCCCCCTTTTTTTTCTTTCTATTGTGCTTTCTGAAAACAAATTTTAAAATTTGGGGAGAAAATCTGGTAAGTCACAAATTGCCCACCACTGCTTCATAGTTGTTAAACTTACATACTTATTATGTCTGCATGTCAGGAGCTGAGGCTGATGCAAACTGCAGTGGCCCTGACACTTCCTGATATGTGCTTTTCAGAACTACACATCAATCTAACTGGCTTTCATTTAGATCCAAGCCCAATTCAAAGTGAGGTTCTTGCCTCTGAGCCCTACACAGTTGAGACTGGGATATCTGAAAGTTCACCTGAATTACAAAGTTTCATATAGTCTACATTCTTTAAAAAAACTTAGATGTAAAATGAGTATTTTGCAAACATGATGTCAATATAGTCACCTTGCTATCATCGTCTTCCTCTTCATCAGATTTATCTGAAGGGGGTAGTGATGTATCACTCTTTATCTCCTCTTTAATTTTTGCTGCTTTTATGGTCTTACTCTTCTTAGTCCTCATCTTTCTTCTCTTTGAGCCTCCCTAAGTAACAGAAAGAATTTAAGCATGAGAAAGCATTTCTAAAAATACCTTATTAATACTACTCATTCCACAGTTCAAGTTCTTTTACTCTTCCAAGTTATACATGTTACAAGTATTTTTTTTTTAGAAAAATTGAAGTTATGTTTAGAGAATCATGAGCTAACATATTTCCATGAGTACAGTGTTATATTCAGTTCCTAATTGGAGAAAACCATGTAGAAATATATAAAGTATAGATAAGATGAAAGACCAGCATATATTGCAATTTAATCCTCCTGTTAACAACAAAATAACTTACTGCTCCAGAAAGTCTCTGCGCTTCCTTCCTTGCTAGATCCTTATTGAGTAATTTTATGAGGTAGTCTGCACGGGTCTGTAGCTGCTTGGCTTGGGGTTTCTTATCTGGATCATCTGGTAGAATCTGAAAGGACAGTTTAAAATACATTCTTCAAAGTACGTAGTGAGTTTAACTACTTTGACTGATTAGGAGAACAGTTAATATATTCAAAAGGCTGTCCAGAAATGGAACGCAAGATAGGGCATGTGCATGATGGTAGATTACATGTGAAGTTTTATGCAACAGCATGTAGTCCACCATTCACTCCTACAAGTAAAGTTTACTCTGGCACAACTTTGCTATGTGGGCAAACTTACTATAATTCATGAGACTTCAAGACAAATTCTCTTATCCCTTTTAGATGCCCATATAGAAGTCAGTCCTCTTCCACAGACCCCACCATAACAACAGATGGCTCTTTACTTTCTTAAATAGGAGACATTCAGATGAACATTTAGTCTGAACATTCTTCAAACAAGTACAATCTGTATGGTTACTGCAATTATTAATTTAAGCAGCAATGCTGATTTCCTGAGTAAAGATGCATTTCATAGCTGCATCTTAGAACTTACTTTGTGTGTCAAGTTAAGATCTGGGTCCATTTTTATCATTTCCCAACTACCATAGCCATATTCATAGATGCCTATTAGAAGATTGGAGTCATCCTCCTTGCCCCAGTCCATATCAAAATGTGCAGCCTTAGTGTGACAAGGAATGGTGTATCTAAATTAAAAATAATAAGCACATTTAGTAGCTATTTACATGTACTTTTAACAAGGAAGTAAAAACAAAATACATCATTGATTACTTAATGATTTATCATCTTAATATTTCATTTTCTCAAAGAAGCTCAGGATGAAGTACATAGGTGCTTCCCCATTTATCTTTACATAAGATATCCCTATAAATTAAGTTAAACCGAGAGATAGTAACCGGCCAAAGGAGAAACAATGCATTTCATGGGTGAGTGGAGATGTGAACCAGGACGATACAACCATTATGCCATGGTGGCTTTCCGCTTCAATAGTCTCTTTCTTTGAATTTGCATTAAAAAGTGGTTACTGATATAGAAATGGAAACACTTGAATTCCCTAGGCATGACTCAGTTAGGCTTGCCTAATAATAATGTATCAAGAAAAACAACAAACCTCTTTCTCTCTTCTGGATCTGACGGAATCGATTTATGCAATGGTGCTAGCTCTTCTTCATGTGAGATGACTAGTTTTGCATTTACCTGGACTCCTGATATTCGGAATGTTGGGCCTTTAACTTTTCCAAGTCTGCCCCCTTATAATAGTAATACAAAACAGGTAAATATTAGCTCAGTTTTATGTACAGCTGTTACAAAATGTGATGAAACAAGTTGCACTTCAAGTATCAAACTTGACAACACAACAGATAAAAACAAATCAAACAGGAGTAACTGGTCTAAACTTTCACAAACACTAAGAACAAATACGTGGCAATGTGCTTGGCCAGGTTTGGCCTACCACCTGTATGCTTCTCCCTTGCCCATCATGGCTCATCATTCACAGTAAGGAATGCATACCTGGGTCCAGGAGGCTGTAAATGCATAATTGAAAGAGAGTGGTTCCAGCCTCTTTAAAGAAGCTGTAATCAAACCACTCCTGAAAAAAAACTAACTTGCACCCAGAAGATGTTAACAACTAGAACTTGGTGGCCAATATTCCTTTCTTGGAATGGTGGTGGCTGAACAGATCCAGGCTCTCTTGGATGAAACTGATCACCCTGATTCATTTCAATCGGACTTCAGGCCTGGTTTTGGAATCAAGACTATATTGGTTGCCCTGTGGGATGACCTTCACTGGGAGGACAGGAAGAGTGTAACCCTGTTAGTTCTCCTGGACCTCTCAGTGGCTTTCAATACCTTCAACCATGGTATCCTTCCAGATAGGCTGGCTGGGTTGGGAGTTGAAGGCACTGCTCTGTGGTGGTTCTGCTCCTACCTGACCAGCCAATTCCAGAAGGTGGTGCTGAAGAATTCTCTGTGCCATGGCAGTTATGCCATGGGAGAATGCAGGGCTCTATTTTATCCCCCATGGTATTTAACATCTACATGGAACCACTGGGGGAGGTTATCCAATTTGGGCTATGTCACCAATATGTTGATGGCATTCAGCTCTACCTCTCTTTTTCATCTAATCTAAGTGAAGAAGTGGCCATTGTGAATCAGTGTTTGGGCTTGATAAAGGATTGGATGAGGACCAATCAACAGCAACTTAATTCAGGTAAGACAGAGGTGCTGTTGGTAGGTGGAAACTTTGGGAGGTGCATCTGTCCATTTGCGTGACATTAAATCCGTCCTGGATGGGGTTTATTATGCACAATGTGAAATTATGCACAATGTGAAACTAGCAGAGCATGCTTAATATGAAATTTCAGAAATATTATTAGTAAGCATGCTTAATATGAAATTTCAGAAATATTATTAGTAAGCCTATCTTGAATGAGTGAGTGCAGTGGAATGAGAACTGCTGAGGCAGTTGTCCTCTTTTTTTGTCCTCTTTAAGGCCAGTTCATATTTTTTGTCCTTGTGTCCTTGTTCCCAGCAATGCACTACAGTGGTCAATAATATATGCATTGGGCACTTATGAGTATAGCTGGCAGAAGTGGCTGAAAGAAGCGCTACTAGAATCATGGCAAATGCTGACAGTTCATTTGGTAATAACCCTGTTCACAGTCAGTGTGTTGAGGATATGGTCAAATGTGCTTGGGACTGCTTGCACAGGCAGAAAATGTGCTATGTAAACCCCCTTTTTAAGTTCTTGGTGTATGTTCTAAGTCTTCCTAATTTGCTCAGAGCAACCTATACCTGCTCTTTCTTGTCCAGACGAGTTGTCTCTTAAAGCCTTGATGCATCCATTATGTACCAGCTCTCCAAGTCGTCTAAGGTCTGTCTCAGATTTATCCACAAGTTCAGCATCTCTAGCTATAGCATCTAGCCTGTAACACAGCACAAATACACTAATTCTAGCATCAACATATGGCAGCTTTCTTCATACTAGAATACAGAAAAAAGCTTTTATACCTGTTTTATACAACCCTCTTAAGCCACCCTCAGTAATAGCTTCTGGTTGTAGCTCCATCGCCAGTGGCCAGTGCAGTGGCCAGTGGATGTAGGGCACTTTAAAGACAGCTTCTTTGTCCTTACATAGTGCTCTGGGAAGCAGTACTTGTTCAGTGGTCACTAGCAGTACCAATCAAATTACTGCTTTCCCCTAAGCAATATGGGCAGACTCACCTAGCCCCCAATTTCTCACATGTCCTCTGGAGTTTATCATCTTTTTCCAGAAGTTAATATAGGTGGAGGAAAGTTGAATCATGCACAGCCCATTCCTAAGAGGGTAACAGAGGAATGGCTCCTGCAAGAACTACACCAGGCATCAATACAGTGGTACCTTGGCTCACAAATGCCTCAGTTTATGACCAAATCGGGTCACAAACAGACATTTCTGAAAACATTTGCCTTGCATCGCGAACTCTGCATTGGGTGATGATCGCAATCACGCCTGCAATTGCGCCCCCCCCCGAGCGCACCCGCTTCAAATTTTTGTGATAAAAAAAAAAGTTACAGAACATATTAACCTTATTTACATTGAACCTTATGGGGAAATTTAACTTGGCTCATGACCAATTTGGGTCACGACCAGAGTCCTGGAATGGATTAAGATCGTGAGCCAAGATACCACTGTTCTATACTCTTTTTAGCATTGGGTTAAAGCCTTTTTATTTGCCCAGGCACTTAACATTAAATGTTACACAATATGTTAAGATGGTTTTTATGCCTTTCAATTTTATTTTGCTGATGTTTGATTTAAAGTTTTTATTGTATTGAGTGTTTCACTTTAATGTACATACAAAATCCTCTTTGGGATAAAGGGTCATAATTTTCAAAACAAAAATAAATGAATTGCCCTAAAACACTAAGATGGACAAGATATACACTCCATCCTGGTTCAGATGTACCTATCTGAGCTTATAGCTTATATGAGCTTAAAAAGCTGATACAAGAAAAAGCTTTGTGCCTGTGTACACTGGCACTTCTGTTCACCCTTATCTGCATGTTTTACTCAATCCCAAAAGTCCTCAATTAACTAGCGTTTCCTTTTATAACTGAAACAGGAAACTATGGCAATCAGGTCTGGAACAAGCCAGGATCATAACATCAACTTCGAAGTGAGAAATGACTTCTCAGCTTATAGTATGTCAAGCAGAAAGGGGCAGAATTAGGCAAACAACCCTTATTATTAAGAAAAAAGATGTTTATCTGCACTAGAAGCAATAGCAACATTCATAGCATGGGAATAACAATGAATTCCATTAGATCTTGGACTAGATGCAGAGAGCATTGTTACTTCCAATACTTTTTCTATAATATATGATTCAGCAAATTTCAATGAAACTGTATCTTCTTGCTTTCACTAGAATACTTCGCTTTAGTTAAAAGGAAAAGAAAAACTTTGTCAGACTTACCTTTCAAGGGGTCCTCCAAATTTCTTATAACTCTTGATAAATCTAGTAAATATAATTTGATAAGTTAAGTATAAGGTTTTATCACAGCACATATTTTTAGATATATCAATAAAATATGTACGGGCCTCAAATAAAGCAAACTAGGTAAATATTACAAAGAAAAACTGTTGGGGAACTTCAGTGAATAAAGAAACTATAAATGGATGTCCCATTGAAGTTAAGAATTCTTATAAAGAATATTTATAAGGGGAAGGCGTATGTAAAAATAAAACTCATTTTAGATTTTTTATTTGCACAAGGCAGCATAAATTACTAAAAAAAAGAGATGGGCCTTGTTCTGTGGTCAGTTCCCAATATACAACCTATAGTAGTTCAAAACTGATGTTTATATGTTTTCAAAACAAGCCAAGGGACAATTAAGATTTAATATTTTGACTTAGGAAAGATATCCGTATTTACTTCAGTTAAAAAATTTGTTTCTGATCAAAATATCTTCATGTGTTCCATCTTATAGAGCAATATCCTCAAAGCTAGTGTCTCCTGATGTGTTGAGACTACATCATCCACAGCTGGGAATTGTAGTCTAAGGCATCTGGAGAGCACCAGATCAGGGATGACTTGCTAGAGAAATAAAAGGAGTATGTTAAAAAGATTTTGGACTGCAATCATAAACTAGATAAATACCAACTTACTTCTTCAAATATAAATAAATGCAAATAAAATTATTTAATTTCCCACCTAAAACTACTTCAAAATCAAGTAATGGAGGTGAGGTGACAGATAAAACAATTATACGTTTCACAGAATTCCTGTTGTTCTCTTCACCCTCAGTTATTTACCTATGTAAATAAACCTCCATTTATCACAAATTTTCACTACACTGTAACAAGATAAAGAGAAATGTAATTTTTAAGACACATAAATGAGAAATGGGAGCCTCTGGCCTGACAGATAATAGGCCAATGAAATATTTTTTGCTACTTTATCTTGTAAATCATTTTTCTGTTTCTTACCTCCGAATCTCTGCATCACTAAATCCTTTAATGTTTTCCCGTGGAATAGTCCGTGGTCTTCCACGTTTTTTGGGCCGTTTTCTTTCTGAGATGGAGTCACTATCTGATCCAGAATATCTTCTGTTTCTACAACGCCTCCCTTCACTTCCATTAAAGCTGATCTGTTTTTTTAAGTGCAAGAGTAAGTGCTCAAATTTGATATTAAACAATAATCAATGTTCTAAATAAAATTTGTTCCAAAATAAAAACCAAGAGGGTGTATTGCTCTGAAAGACACAGCTTACTTGTTTTGCACAGTTTCGCATTCTTGGTAGCATATAAATTTCCTCCAATTCTTTTTGCCTTTCCTCCTCTTCTAATCTTCGCCTCTGGACTTCTGGAATTATTTCTTCCCAGTTTCTTGAATTTTGATCAGGTTCCAATTCAATGTCATCTTCATCCATAGTGGCAAAATTGGCCACCTGTTAAAATATCGGTTTAGGGAAAAGCAGTTACAAATGAACATACTTTTACCTATACATTCATAACAGAAGAAACCAAATGCTTAATATCCTGTGTGGGCCTCTGCAAACACCACTGCCATATTTTGGTTAAAAATCCAAAGAAATTGGAAAACTGATAGGAACATAATTAACTCGCAATACAGATAATCTGACTCTCAGTTTCTCACCCTGTGAGGGTGGATTAAATAGCACCTTAAGAAAAAAAAGACAAAGACAACTCATTTTTGGGCATTAAAAGATGGAATACAGGCATACAATTGTGAGAGACGAATGAGAAGAAGGATCATCTTAAACAGAATTGTACAAAGTTTCAGCCAAAAACACTGATCTCAACAAGAACCCAGTCTGATTCCAATCTATTATTTAATATATACCATGTCTGTATGCTTTCAGCCAAATCTGCTTCAGTGATTTTTTCTGGTTTTCTGTGTTAGATGTGGTTGTTTAATATGTTACATAACCTTATGCACCTGTACGGACTTTGTATGAACTTGCATAGTTTGCACACTAAATTATGGCTCCCAGGGAAAAATTGCATAAAAGAACTGCAGGTGGCAAGGAAAGCAACATATAGACTTGAATTGTTTTATACTTAGATTTAATATACTTTACAGACTGAGAAACAAGAGTACCTTAAACTGGGAAAGCAGCTCATCTCCAACGCTTAATGGACCAGTTTCATTTTCTCGTGTTTCAGCTCTCTTCAAGATTTCATCTATGTCCATTTCCTAAAAAAATATATATACACACACACACACAATTGAAACGCTGATTTGAGAAATAAATCAAAAGTAAATCAAAGCAGGAGAGATAAGACTGGCTTACCTGTGGCTCCTGTTCTTCACCTTCTGGTTCCTTAAAAAGTTCCTCAGCACCAAACTTCAGAATAGCTGAAAGCTCCTCTTTGTTAAAAGGAGCAGAACTGAAAATAAAGAGAATACTTTTTATTTCCAAAAATGAACAAGATATTTAATCACTTTCCAATTCAGTTTAAGATTTCTGAAATTTATAGCTATTAATGATAAATCAACTTGTGATAGTAAATGGAGAAAAGGATATATAAAGAAAAATAATTTTAAAGTGATTTGGGGTGCATTTATTGATATGTGTTAAAAATGGAAGGGATTTGAACCTTTACAACAGTCACTGAAATTCTGGAAGAGGAAAATTTCTTGAAAGAATGTTTGAATAAATTCTCAACATGTATCCAATGGGTCGCACAGTGTTTTTAAATTAATTATAATTGTATCTTAATGTTTAATCTTGCATGTTTTTATTTCAGTTGTAAGTTTTCTTTTGTAAATTTTATATTGAAAAATTAATTAAAAATTCTGAAATTGATTCAATCAATCTAAAAGTCTTCAGACTGCATATAAAGCTTTATTTCATTCAGTGGGTTGCATTCAGTGTTGGCCTAATGGTCAAGTTACATGTTGTTCAAATCACACATAGCTGAGCTATTTATCACACACATTTGGATTGGGACAGTGGTGCTTGGAGAGGAAGCTAAAAAGTAAAAAAGGGGTTTGCACTGGAATACAGATATTTTTCTCTTTTTATGGAATTTCAGAACGACTATGGAAAGGGAAACTAATTTTTCTACCTCCTGGAGCTGCAGTTCTGATCCAGAGCAGTACCATATGTGTTTATACTGAGAAAAATAATGCATAGAGGTAATTTACACTGAAGTAAATTATTCAATACAACTTGGAAAATATCCAGTGTTCCAACTCTGAATTCCCTTTCATTTCAATGGATCTAATCCAAGACAGACTAAACTTTGCTGTAACCCAGTGCCAAGACACAAGAATAGGGTGATTTCCATCAAAGTGGCCTACAGACAATAAAGTTGACTATACAGAAAATCAGAGACATAGAAACAGAGCAAGTCAGAAGAGGCCTCCCAGGCCATCTGGTCTGACGCACAGCTCCAGCTAGCTCCGTTCATGACATGCCTAGAATATGCATCTCCAGCCTATCCTTGAACACCCTCAGTGATGGGGCTTCAACCACCTCCCATGGAAGCCTATTCCATATGCTAGAGGTCCTAACTGTCAGGAAGTACTTCCTGGCATCCAAATTGATGTGCAAACCCTTCTAACAACTGGCTCTTGGCTTCTTGGGCTTCCTCAGTCACAGCAGCACACAGCAGTTGAATAGGTGGCAAGAAAGTTCTCACTTGGAAGTGTGACGCTGCCTTATACTGTATCAGACCACTAGTCCACATAGCTCATTGTTACCTACTTTGACTTGTATTAGTTCACCCTACTTTAGGAACATGACAAATTTGAAGTCTAAGGCTAGAGATCAAACCTGGGGTGTTCTACATGCAAAGAATGCACTTTTAGCTTCAACTCTTATCTACATATACTTAACTCTCTTTCCTTTTTCTCCCCTATCATTTTCTTCTTGTTTGCACATCTGCCCTTCTATCTCCTTTTTTTCAGCAACTCTGGGCAAGAGAGGAAATGCCTTCAACCTGGCTACTACAGAACAGTTGCTGTTATATAGTAGGAAGAAGCAACTTGAAGGCATCTTTTCCCAGTGCCTACCCACATCAAAAATAGTGAGAACTCTGCATGCATTTTGGGATGTTTGCAAGGGAAAAGAACGGAGTTCAGGATGGTAAAGCAAATGGTATTTTAAGTGGTTCATGTGTGTTAGCTTCAGGAGCTAGATTTAATCCTAGCATTGTGAAACTAGGAAGGTACAGTTCTTGGACACTTGGGTGAAAAAGGTTGATTTGTTCTCCCATTACATTTTGGCAAACCCTTAAGGAGACCCCAGACTTAGAAGAGACCCCCAGACTTGCTCACAGACTGTCCCCATACCAAACAGTGTGCAGGATTATTTCCATATTTTTGGGAATTTCACTTTTAGGTAAGTATAAAATTAATTACAATTAGTATACCTGGATGGTGCAGAACCTGTGTGCAGTACTGTTTTTCCTGTAGTGTCCATTCTCTGAATGACCAGGTGATCTAAAACCATCTTCTTCTTGGCTCTTTCCAGGATTTCTTCCTCTACTGAGCCTTTCGTGACAAGCCGATAAATATTAACCTGAAAAAAATTAAAGAAATTGCATACATAAACAGCAGTTATTTGTAGCTTTATTCACAATTATACTAAGTGGATATAAGACTACCTATGTTTTTATTCTCTCTTAATCAGGGATGGAGAACTTGTGACCATTCACATGATGCTGGATTGCAGCTCCCATGGCTGATGGCTAGGTCTGGTGGAGTCTACAACATTTAGAAGGCCACACGTTTGTTCTTAAACATTGTGTAACAGATGTTTAGGGTATAATCCTGTTCAGATGCCCATAAGCCCCTGAACTTGGAAGCTTATGGGCAATGCAGCAGGAAATGTGTTGAAGCGATCTTCACTTCCATGTTCTCCTGCTCTGCACTGGAGTTGTTGAATGATAGGCATGTTTGCCAATCCACCTAGAGTGCTTTGGAAGGGGTGGGGGACAGGCTGGAATAGCTTCAGTCTGGCTGTTCCAGTCTCATCTCTTTCACTCTTCCTTAATTGCCTCCTTTAATCCTTCTCCAAAGTTGCTTTCCTGACCTCAGAGAGCAGCTGGTGCAGTTGTTTCCATGCCTGCTATAATGGGGAGGGGCATCAGAGCTCCAACTCCTAGCTCTGAGGTCAGAGTATAGTCTCCAGCCTTGGAGTCAGTAATGTGAACAATCTCTACAGGACACAAGATTATTTGTTGAATCATGAAGTGCCTCTTTCACTGTGATCAATCCACACCTCACAGATACTATATGGAAGTGTGCTGGAAAGGGGAAAACACTGTGGCAAGGCTATAGACAATTAGGCAAAAGCCATCGCACTGTCCAGGGGCACTCATACTCGACTTAACACTCTCTTTTGCTACTTTTTGGTGTTATAGCTATTTCAGCTATTATAGCTAATACTCAGCAACCTAATTTCCTATGACCTCAGTATCCGTTTGTGCTTTGCCTGCTAGCACGCCACATTTGTAAAGGATGGCTGGAAGATGTCAGGCCAAGCATAGTGGCAGAGGATCTCCAGAGCTGCATGATTATCATCTCTAAGGTTTGGGTTTAACTTAGAAAACCTTAGACAGTTTGGGACTGCAATGAATGAAAGAGTGCCTTCCCTGACTTGAATGTACCCAGACAATTAATGGTGGCTTACTGATTATGGAATGATCTCTCCACTGAGTACTGACTGAAGCATTTATATCAGCTTTTTAAAAGGTATAACTTCTATTAAAATAGTTTTAGCTGTTAAATTATTTTTAAGTTTATAAACGGAAACAGTTTATGTTGTATTTTAGTTTATTTATAATCTCTACTTTTATTATGTTGTTATGAATAGACCGGAGAACTTTGGTTATTGGATAGTACAGAAATGAAAATACTAATAAAAAGCATTTGTATTTGGATTCTTCATTTGTCTGGGCCAGGCTGCTAGCATTTGGAGCTGGATACAACTAAGGATGTAACAGACCTTCTGTGCAAATGTTTCTTATACTGAACAGGTAAACCCTTCAGTCAAATGTAATAGCAAACCCAAAACTTTACAGAGATAAAGGGAAGTACTTGTACCCACAAGATTCTACCAAGATATCTCAATTGTTTAAATTCCGAAAAAGATATTAACTTGAAACGACAATTTAGCAATTATATCTTATCATAGGTGGGATAATTTTCTTGCTACAGTACTCTAATACATGAATGCCAAGAGTAAAAATGGAAATAATTAGGTACGTAGCTATACCAGGCATATCTAAAATGGTAGTGATGTTTTCCCAAACATAGCTACAATAATGAAACAAATTGCTCCTGCTCTAAGATATGAAAATATTTCATTAGAGTTCAAATATACATACCTGCTTCTTTTGTCCAATCCTATGAGCTCTAGCTTGTGCTTGCAGATCATTCTGAGGGTTCCAGTCAGAATCAAATATAACTACAGTATCAGCAGATGCCAAGTTTATACCCAGACCTCCAGCTCTGGTAGATAGTAAAAAGCAGAAATCCTGAAATTTAGAGAGCAAGGGATTCAATAAGCAACAAGTTGTATATAACAAGGAGGTTACTAATACATTTTGATATTGTGAACAAAATAGCATATATATTAAATTTAAAGGTCTAATTTCATATACATTAAGACAAAGTTCTCCAACTGTAGGAAAAATTCCCACAATTGCAGCATTTCACAGACAACAGTGCTTGCTGGAAAATGCTGGAGCTTGGAGATTTTTCCCGTGTAAACATGAACAGGTTTCTTCTCTTAAACATGGATGTAAATACTGCAAGTCTCCTCCTAACAATTTACATGCAACAAAAAGATTGGACAGAGCCATACTTACTCTCAATCAGAGTAAATCTGCTGAAATCAGTAAGACTTACTTTAATCATCACTAATGTAAATCCATCTGATTTCAGTGAAGCTACTCCATGACTTAAGTATTAATCCAATCCATTTTCTACAATAAAAAGGGAATACCTTAAGGCTATCATTTTAATATAGCTCTTCAATTCCATTTTAAACCTAAATAATAGATATCCATATAGCTATTTTAAAAGATAAATTTCTTTCCATCAGTAAAAAGCTAATAAAAATAATTCCCTAAAACATATTTCCTAAATGGGCAAAACAAAACAAGTAAGTTAACAGTAAATTACCTCAGAACCTTCTGCATTAAAATGATCCAGTGCTTGTTTCCGCAGTTCTCCTTTGATTGACCCATCTAGTCTCTAAAGGAAAAAGACCATTTAAATGAAGACTGGGTACATGTGTAAATTGCAAAAATAACTGAAAGAAATATGTGCATAGTTATTTAGTTTAAAAACAAAGTTCTTACTTGAAAGGGAAACTGACGGTATTTCAAATATTCAGCTAGGATGTCCAGCATCCGTACCATCTGAGAGAATATAAGTACTCTATTGCCACGCTCTCGTAAGCGAACCAGCAGCTTGTCTAAAAGAATTAGCTTTCCACTACTTCGGATTAAATTCTTTAAAGAAAAAAAAAAGAATTATAACAATTACAACAAAAAATAACCATTGCATTGCCAAAAGGAAAAGGGAAATTGTTTTAAGCTTGTTTTTGTAAACCACCTCAGAAACATCACTGAATATAAAAAAACTTTTAAATAAATACCTTTGCAGTTGTATTTACATTTAAACTGTATCTCAAGTCACAAATAACAGGTAATAAATATTTGTATGCTGAAGTGTAAACCATGTAGACCAGTTTAATGATGTTACCTGTAAGGCCTCCTGTTTATTATAGAATTCATTATCATCTGGTGGTTTAATGAGGTAGCAATGATTGCAACACTTTTTGAGCTCCATCATGATATTCAGAAAGCCTGAGGTACTGCCCTTTGAACCTTTACTTAGGGCTTTGTAATTCCTAGTTAAAATCCACCTATGATAGAAAAATATATTAGCAGCAATTAAATTTTAGCAAAAGAAAATTAAAATTGCTTAGCTGATAAACAAGCAAATCTTCAATGGTGAGAGAAACAACTACTATATACTACATATAATTAAACTATTTAAATACTCATAGTTAATTACTTACTTGTAATATTGCTTTTGCAATGCACTCATCTCCATTCTTAAAATTTGTTCGACCTTGGCAGGGAGAGATTTTTCAACATCTTTCTTAACTCTCCTCAAAAGAAATGGTTCAAGTTCTTTGTGAAGACTTGCATAGCCATATTCCCTTCCTTTCCCATGTTCCTCTTCAAAATCTTCCCAAGAAGAAAACCTTCAATAAAAACATTATATTCTAAATTATAACAGATTGTCAGATACATGCTATGTCAGTAATTAAAAGCTTCAAAATAATCAAAACCCCAATTGGGGGCAAAAGGACAACCTCATATTTTGGTCAAAGTTAACAATTACACCTGGATTATTCAAGTGACTGACCATGGGTTAAAAAAAATATGCCACTGAATTCTTGGTTATCTTTTCCCAACTAAATTAAGACAGAGTACAATTAAGCTTTTGTTTACTTTCTTAAGCTCCTTAGCATTTTGTCATTTTAATATCCTCTCACTTACTTTGCTCATACTTTAGGCGCACACTGATTGCTGGGGAAGCCTGTCCATAGTTCCAGTAAACCCATGACAAATATGGACTAGAACTAATGTTTAACTGTACCATTTTCAGATCCATATGCAAAAGAAAGTAAAAGAGAACAATATGGACTTTGCTAGGGGATATATAAAGGGACCAAAAAGGCATTATACAATGCAGTCAAAAAGCTTATAAATAATATAATGACTCCTCTGCTAATGCGAAGCACTGCCAGTTACTTAATTCAAATTTCATTCACACTGTACCCATGATGCTACATGGCTTCCACCAAGCACTTGGGTCGTTAGGTCTTGCCAAGTTCTTCAATACACTATCAGTTTTTTTTCAGGGAGTTAGACCTGTATGCAAATCAAGCATCTCTGTGTTTGATCATCACCAAGGGCTGCAGAGATGGAGAATCACTAGTTTTTCATGTGCTTCCACCTTACACTGGATTTCTAATTGATTATTATTCTTGTAAGGTACCATGTGTGTCCATGACAAGGTAAAAAATGTGAACTGAGTCAAGTCATACTTAGGTGTTTTAGCTTAATAAAGATTTG